CGATATGTAATGACGATGCACAATCCTTCAAGATTTTCAGTAAACTAAGTAAGCTTTCAGTAAACCGCCCGCGGTGCAGTAGTCGTGTGGGTCTTCCTTGCTGAAATCTTGCGAGGTTGGTAGATCACTATATCGGCTTAAATGCATTTTGCCAGTAACAGAGCCCTCATCCTGAAAGGATTGAACCTATTGTGACTACCCGACGGAACGCGGAGTTTCGAAATCAAATAACAGGTCATCATTGAACCACAATTACTACAAACCCACTTACCGTAACTCACATCAGTCCCATCCTCTATACCGCTATGAAGCTGAGCCATATTGGCCTATTCTTCATTTCCAATTCGATATGCCCAACGCAGCCCAAAAAATATACAAAAGAGGTTTTCCCAAGCTCGCATCATTCTGATCCACTGGACCACTGTTATACGTATCTCACCAGCATTAATTCTTCTTTTTCACTAAGCAATATCTGCAATATTCACTGACTGTGTACACTGAGCGATTCGCCCCCCGGTGGCTGCGTTGCAGCCCTTGGTACGTTATAGGTTAAACACCTCATTTTGCTAACTGAGATCTCTGGTTACAACGGAGCAGCGGTCCTCGATCGGTGAAATGCGATAACCATTACTGCTTTACGAGGGTACGAACTCCAGCGAACAGGCTGTTTTGGCATGTTAAAATCATTTAGAACGACTTTGACAAGCTCGATTGAGGAAGCTGGCACCAATTAGGCTGCGTTCATACTTGCGGCGTAACGCTAGCGAACGCTAGTGAAATGCTGGCAAACGCTGGTGACGCAGGCGAGCGCTAGATCGATATCCATACTTTCCTAGTCAGCGACGCTGGAAACGCTGCCGAACGCTAGCGTACGCTGCCGCAAAGTATGAGCGCGGCCTTATGGAACTGCAAAGTATGAACGCAGCCTCATGGAACCGCAAAGTATGAACGCAGCCTTATAGAACTATTCGTGTCAAGCAAGCTTGGACTGAGGGTTTGATCTAGACAGAAACACTATAAGGTTCTAAACATTATCGACGACGCCAAGACGTTAAATGGAGAGTGAGAGAGGAATAAACAAAAACGAAACAATGAGAACCCACAAAGTGGGCTATATTTACGACGCGAAAGCTGATTCACTCCGACAATCATGCGGCAAGATACTGCTTGATGAGAAACAGTATAAGACTTCTTTCGAGAGAGACAATGAAGTGACAAGTGATGCTTCCCGTCACGTGGTACGATCTGTCGTCAGATCGAAACCAGATCCTGCCGAGGACCTTCCCAACCTTATGATTTCCATTGGTGCTATACTTAAGTGAAGGGATAGAAAAACTTGAGACTTCATGAATGATGACCGCAAAAGATTTCAGCCAAGTTCTTAATAAGAAACAAAAGAAAAACAAGTATTGGGAAAGGAATACACTCCAAAGCACAGATGATCCGTTTTGCCCGTTATCGCAGATCAATCATCGATGTCTTACCAACCCCCAGGCTGTTCAGTGCGATAGGGTTGACGATACGAGGATAAGCTGCCATATAGATTTTTTTCTCAATATCACCAGCAAACGGAAATTTTGCTCCTTCGCAATCGCATTCATAATGACGGCTAACGCAACTGCCTCATAGCCATTTTTTCCACGACTGAACCGCTTATGGCCATTTAGGAATCTGGCAGTTAAGGTCCAAGCTTGCATTGGACCCTAACTGCTAGAGTAACCAAGCATCATCGAGATTGTGGCTCTGCCTGCGTCCTCGTCCGAACCTCTCCCATTCGCTAGAAAGCCGCGTAGAGGCAATCATGCGGCTTTTCGGAAAAACTTTACCAGCCCAGGATGGACAGCCCTACACAATCTGTACCAACCAGATCGCAAGGAATTTAGAAAGCACCCGCTGGAGGAGCTTCTTCAACTAGTACAAACGAAAATTTACAAATTTATTGACCATGCCTTTGAACAACATGTCATTTTTGGCCTGATTCACTGACGCCTGCAATATAAATATTCTCGAACCCTTGAGATCACGTAGGTGTGATCCGTAACTGGTTTTAAAAATAGGCAGCGGCCAGGTTTTCGAGAGCTAATTTCGCTTTGTATCAGTCGTTATCACAAATTCTACATGCTAACACAGAACAAGATACGCAATTGTTGAATTAAATTGCAATGTAGTCCGCACAGGCAAACCCTCTTATAACCCATGCTCAAAAGCCACGCCTACTCCGTCTCAGGGATAAAAACCATATCTATCCTAGAATAAGCACACAAAATAGGCTATTTAACGAGTCACTAGAACAGACTTCTTTGATATATACATCACCATGAAAAGATTAAAGTAAGTTAGTAAGTGTCAAATTTCGCTCGCAAACAGAGTGGAAGAGCGAGGAACATGGGTAAAAGTAGAGATAGCTGCTTGAATAGCTGTTCATGTTGTAGAAACCGACGCAGTTAGCAATCGAGGACCATCCGTTTGGTACAGAAGAAAATGGAAGGATCAGCCATTTCCTGAAATCAATCTGTTATAATGACAGAAAAAACCATATATGAACTGATTAGCTGCAGCGAAAACGACTGTGTGATTTGTGGAATATAAAAACGTTTAGGAACACAAACTCACAGCTGTAGAGGATCCAATCCTTCGTAGCCAACAAAGGACGGCTTTCCGAAGTCGTCATTCGCAATGCACACGCTCATGTGCGAACTGAAAGTAATCACTGCAGCCAAAAGCAACAAAAAGCGTCCGAATCCACTTACGAGCCGTCCGGTCCAGCAACTTGCCACCGCGGGAATGAGTCAGTTGCGCACTGTCCAAGTCCAATCCAGCTCCAGAAGTATGGCGGTGTCTCTTTCATCACTTCGTTCTGAAACGAACAGCATGTTGAAACACCATCGCATCCGATGACCTCACAGCAACTCACAAATTCGCCTCGATGGAAGTCAGACGCACAAAAGAGCGTGGCTCCCTTCTCATTGCATGCTTTCTCAGCCTGGCCCAAACTCATCTTGCTTGACTCGACGTAGTAGCACGAGTCTTGGTAGCTAATCCACCCATCAGGACAGACGAGGGGTTCCTGGAAAGCTATAAGATCTGACACACAACGATACTTGTTCTACAAAAGCTAGCTATACCGCCAGG